CTCGATCAGGTCGGTCTGATCTTTGTGAGCCGTGGCCAACTCGGCTCGGAGGTCCTTGATCTTTTCTTATTTTTTCCCACTGAGAAGGTTGAGGGCATTCCTCTCCTCCATAAGCCTTTGAATGTCGGCATCGTACCGACTCAGCTCAACTCGAGACCAAGAAAAAGCTTCCCGATGAAGCGTTGAGGCCTACGTAGAAAGAAGAAAAGAAGTTAGACATGAAGATAAAAATGAACACAAGGGTAATACCAAAAAAGGGAGTTAAGGCTTACCCGATTCAGAGCTTGCTGCGCTTCGTTGAAAAGGCTCGATGCCTCACCCGAGTCCTTCCTCGAGACCTCCAAGTCGCTCAGGCTGGTAGCATCTTCGACCCCAGTAAAATAGTCATGGAAGGGGTCCTCCCTTCCGTGGGTTCCTTCGATGGAGGGGATCTTCAAGGCCCGAGCCTCTTGAATCATCTCCTCAGAAAACGAGGGGAGCAGCAGGGAGCCTCCAATTTCTATTGCCCCAAGTCTATCACTTGGGGCGTTCTCTCCATCTCGAGAGACCTCGAGACAAGCCCCTACAGCCGTACCCACCGTTGGCTCATTATGGTGGGAGACATCTTCAATTCTCGATGACTCGGGGACTTTGCCCAAGTCTCTTCCCGAGACCTCCTCATCTCAAGATGGAGTCTCTACAGCCTTCACCGATTCAATGGCCTTTGGGGCCTCAGTGCTCATTCCCACTCGGGCTACCAGCACGAAGTCATTTTCTTCCTCTTCTTCGTCTTCCTCCTTTAGACGCCGAACAGAGTCTTCAATCAGAAGGATGATGTTCTTCTTCGGCTTACGAGCCGTCTTCTTCTTAGGTATTGGATCCTTGGAGGTTGAGGTCTTTTTTCTCTTTTTGTCCTTTGCCAGTTTCGGAGCCAGGATCGAAGTCTCCTCCTCACTAGATAGGGGCCTCATGAGAGCATCTTTACCAAGGCCTGTATAAAAGGAAATTAAGTAAGAGATGCTTTAACAAAATCATCAAAGACGTGGAAAAGGGGCTTACCATGAGTCTCGGCCTCCCATCGGCACTTTGATAAATCGCGCCATGAGCGCTCGACGTATGTAAAGGTCGAGGCTAGGTTCACCCAGCTCTCGAGGTCGGGAATCACATGGGGCATCCAAGCGACCGCTACATCATGGAAAAAGACATCAATAAGAAAAGATAAGGAACAAATAATACATGGAAGCTAACAGTGAGACGATACTTACGATTCATGTTTCATTTCTTAGGAAATGACATCTTCTCGGCTGGGATTAGGTCGGAAGTCCTCACTCGAATGAACCGGCCTATCCAGCCTCGATCTTTGACCTCGTCTATACTCGATAACAGCACTTTGGTAGCCCGGCGTTGGAGTTTTATTAACCCACCTCGATAGAGGCGGGGGCTATACAATCTGATAAGGTGATCGAGGGTGAAAGGGAGCCCCTCGATTTTGCTCACGAAAAATCGGAGCAGAATAACAATTCGCCAAAAGGAATGATGGATTTGGCCTAGGGTTATTTGATATTGACGGCAAAAATCAATGATGACGGGGTCGAGGGGGCCCAATGAGAAAGGGTAAGTGTAAACACTTAGAAATCCTTCCACACGGGTGGTGATATCTTCTTCGGGGGTCGGGATCACCACCTCTTTGCCATCCGAGATGCAGTCTTTCTTTACCTGCTTAAGGTATCCCTCAGTTATCAAGCATATATACCTCGACACTGGCTCGCACCGACCAGGAATCGACGAGGCTTTATCGATCTTGAAATCGGAGTTTAGCACGCACCCCCCAGGAATGCATTCCTCAAGACGGGGTTCCATCGGCTTTTTCCCGCTGACCGGTTGAGAAGACGAAGTAGCTTCTTTTTGTGGTACCGTTTTCGATGTTTTTTCCATGTTTGTGTAAGTTTAAAGAAGGGGGAGATAATAGGACTTGATGTTTGAGAAAGGATTAACAGCAAAATCTGAAGATTTGTAAAAGGGAAGAACTTGAGATATGTAAAAGCTTTGGAGATTAGAAGGAAGTGAAAGTAAAGTTTGAATCAATGAAGAAGGGGTCTATTTATTGGATTCACGGCGACGGTTCAAAGGCACTAGTGGCCGACCACCAACTGACACTCATTAATGATTTGGAAAACTGTACCGACGAAATATTTCGGTCACTTCCGTTGCTTACGTCACGAGGATGACATCATGAAAAGTCGAGGTGAAAAATCGAAGGCTCAATTCATTTCTTGCCATTTCACTCCAAAAAATAAGGGGACTATCTCTATACGGTTAAAACCGGGCCCACCAAATCTTACTACTTGTCCGAGAACGGGAGGTTGCATCGAAGGATGGTCTCGTAACGGAACAGAATAAATCACGAGGACAAGGTACCAAGTTCGAGATTCAAGATACATGTCGAGATCAAGGCCATCAACAATCAAGACCGAATGATACAAGCATCGAGTAAGCTCGAAGATAACATAATAACGGAAAGGCGAAATATTCGTGCCTCGTCGAAGATCATGGCGGAAATCTCGGAACGGATCAAATTAGGAATGGTTAATTAGCTAATCATGGGATTTTCTTCTGTAATTAGAGTTAAGCCATAAGTATAACTCATCTACTATATAAAGGGGAATACTAACCATTTGTTATATACATTGTTCTCACAAAAAAAATCAATATAACACTCTCTCTTTAGCTTATACTCTCTTGTTCATCAGCTTGCTTTATTTTTAACTGTTTTGGCATCAATCAGTTCGAGGGTACCCTAGCTCAAGGGTTGAATTCCGTTTCAATACTGGTTCGCTTTACTTTATAGTTTCATTTCTGTTATTAATCTTCACATTTATTAATTGGTATTAGGTGAAATCACGTGTCCTTAAAATCATATTTTAAGTTTAATTGTTAAATAATTTTATTTATTGATTATCAAGGTGTATGGTGGATAAATGTATCTGGTAAAATTGGCTTATAATAAATGGTCGAATGATAGCATGACGCGTGTAACCGAAGACAGGTAAAAGGCGAATCAAGTAATAACCAGCACCGGAATCAACAGCTGTAATTGACATCGGATAAACCCCGAATGGAGGATGGTCAACGGGAGCAGGTTGAATATTTGTCATCGGATAGTATTATATGAACAATATTCTCTAACATTAAATGGGCAGCCGTTGCAGGGTAATATTTGCATTCATGACCTACTGTTACATATTCATCAATGACTCCTTTATTATCATTTAAGTATGGCTTGATCATATGATCTTGTTTCTCTAGTTATAGCTATAAATAGCAGGCTCAGCAACCATTGTAAGACATAGAATTCTTGGAAAAACATATGCTATATTTCGTTTTTTCGCTCTTTATTAAACAATTTTATTTGTTCTCTTATATTGTTCTCATTTTTGTCCTCGGAGACGCTGATCTCGGAACCAAGCTTGTCATCATCTTTAATTCTAATCGCTAAGTCTTATTTTTAATCTTATCTATTCTATCATTTTTCGATCAAATCAGTTCGCTTGTCTATAAATCATGTAACAAATTCAACTGTACCGTTTTACAAGTAAACAATAAATGTGATTCCTCCAACTTTAATTAGAAGCCTTAAAATCGAGTTAGGAGAATGAAGAAAATTCTGGCGGAGAACATTTTCTTAATATGCCTTATATAATATGAATTCAGATTAATCGAACTAATGAGTATAAAGTACTGGATACCAGTCATATTTAACTATACTCTATCCCCCATTTTCTTGAATCCAAAGCCATTGCAAACTAATACTATTAACAGAACTGTACGAAGTGAGCAGCAGATTAGGCTAATGATATAAGTTATAAAGACTCATACTAATACTATTGTTTTAGTAGTGTAGAAAAGATTTTACATTGTCAATACACCTAACCTCATGAACTAGGAATACGCTGGATATTACTTTTTCAACGTGATGAAAATGAAAAAAGTAGGACAACTTTTGAGGTGATATGTTCATTGTATTACAGCCCATGCTACAGTGTTAGGAGTAGGGTAGGATCATGGGCACATCAATATCATCATCTAGACAATAGAGAGATCAAAAGCCAAAAGTAAACAGCTTTTGACTCACGCAGCTTTCTGCTTTTTTCTCTTGTCTACCATGATCTTTTTATAAATATTCCTATGGAAGCTTGACTAATTAAATTTATATCAGCAAAAAGGCCACATTAGAGGTCCCTTGCTCTTGCCTCGGCTTCGCCTTCCACCTTGTTAAGCTTTGGACTTCCACCTTCACTAACCCGTGGGGCGGGACCGACCTTCTCTTTGTTTGTAATTGGACTTACCCGAAATAAAGGAACCTTGGCGTGAGAACCCTCTAGATTAGGGAGATCCAAATAAGAGCTTGTTGCATATGCGTAGGAAACCACCCCATACGGTGTAAGAAAAGCCCACTTGACTTCGGAATGCCAACCTCCCTTAGCGTAGCCCTTTACGACCTTTTCCGCCTTCTCACTGCCATTCATCGGATAAGACTACGTCACCTAAATCAACAAAAAAGAGAAGGCATTTCTCGTTTTTGGCTAGCCTGGAATTTATATCAGCAAAAAGGCCACATTAGAGGTAAACGATTCCTTAACAACAAAAGTGATCATACTCGGTGTCCGAACCCAAAATCTCTGATTAAGAACGGCGGAGAACTTATTACTCCGCCACAGCTGTCGTTGGTTATTTAGAGTGTAATTTCACCTCACGTTGCTCTCAATGAAAGCCCCCACAGCTAAAGTGCTTTGTTGCCAAAGAAAAAAAAGTTGCAATTTGCAAAGATCCATAGTAGCCTTAGCCGGAAAAAAATACAATTTACTTTCAGAGATCCAACCCACTGTTTCATCTTCCTTTTATAACTCTTTTAGCATCTAGCTATTGCTTTTTTCTTTTGAGGTGAAAACTCAACTTTGAATGTGAAATGTCTCGCTTTTTATGAAATACATCATTTTCACATTAACAATGAGAAGAAGACATGCAATCTTTTTGACCATATAGTCCTTTAAAAAATCTAAAGTAATTACAAAAGAAGTAAACAACAAACCAAACTATTACAATAACTAAATACACGCGAGTGGTCAATTAACAAAAAAAGAAAAAAAAATTCTGAACTAGAAACTACAATTCTACCATTCACTCCACCTTGAAAAGTCAGAAGAAATCCGAATTTCTTACTAATTGACACTTTACACGCGTAATAATTATGGGGAAGAAAATAAACTATAATCATTCATTTTGCTTCCTTGTTTTGCTCCTCCATGTCTCCTCTTTTCCACTAGACGATTCCCAATTTGCTCTTCTCTAAGTTTGCACATTTGGGTGTGTTTTCTTCAAATATCAGGACCTCAAACTAATTTAAGTCAAATATCTTGTCCTATGCTCCAAATATCTGGGAGTTTTCATGGGTAATATTAATGCAAACTCAGCAACCAGTGAAATATTTCATTTTCTTCATTTCCCACTAGCTATCTTTTTCTTTCTTTCACTTGACTCGATCTTATAATCCAAGAATGATGTAGTACACTAATGTGATTGGCAATGCTATCAACATCCCGAAAATAACCCTGAAATGCAAAAAGAAAAAGAGAAATTGTCACATAAGTAAAGATCATAAAAAAGAAAATGAAGGATTAAAGTTATACTACTATACACTAGTGCATGCGCAAAGGACTTTTTACTTACGCAGTGCTAAGAATAGCTGGATGAACATTGTACTCCTTAGCAAACACAAATGGGACAATCCCTTGTGGCAATGCAGCCTATACATATAAAATTACAAGAATATGTTAAAAAATAAATCAACAAATTCAATAAATCAAGAATGAAAAGAAATATACAATTTTTTATTACATTCATAATGACATGCTGAACTATTTATGAACCAACAATATTAGTGAACATTAAATAGGAAAGATAAGAATTTTGTCATTTCATGGCCACCAAATTTTACTTTTATTTTAAATGAAGAAATTAATGCATAATTTACCTGTACAATGGCTACATGGAGGAGGGTACCACGAAGACCAACGGCAATGGAAGCAGCAGCCATAACTGCTGGGCCAGTCAAAAACCTCACAGCCATTGCAAATGTAGCCACTGTGTTCCCACATGCAATGATCTTTGGTTGCAAAGCCATAAACAGACCTATACACCAATCCATAACATAACCGGATCAGAGTCGGATTCAGGATTTATATAGGTTTAACTTTTAAAGTTTTTGGTATTAAACTCATTATATTTTAGAAGTTATGGTTTAATTGAACCCGTTGTTAATACACTAGATCAGCCCCTGAACCAGATCAGAGGCGGATTCAGAGCAGTTCAACATATGCAACGACATCCATGTACAATAAACTAACGTCTATTCTGAATCAATTAACTCTAAATTCATGAGTATTCGCCTCTGGTTCAGACAATTCTTCAAAATTCTCCCAATAAATTTCAACTACTTTTGACAATACTACTAGCACTAGTCAAGTAAGGACATTAGCTTATCGACCCCACAAGACTATGATTTTTGACAATATAACTACCCTATTACTACTATGATTGGATGGTCAAATTTGTAACACTTAACGTACTAGAAATGTTTAGCATATGATAGAGAAAGGTATGACAAGCATTAAGAAAAAAGATACAAAAATAGATGAAAATATGAATGCATTAAAAGTTTGACAATGTGAGTGTCAAGAATTAATGCCGACATCTGATTATTACTTACCTAAGCTAAACATAGCCATTCCAAGACCAGCGTCTGAGAGAATAGAGATTGATTTCTCTATGATTTTGGGCATATGCACATGCCACCTGCAAAAACAAACAAACCAACCTAATTAATTGATGGACACTTTTTTTTTTAAATCATTCAACTGAAAATGTTTGAAAAAGTAGAAACAGTAATTAATTTTAATTTATGATTAGCTTACCTAAATGAGATTAGTGACCAAATCAGACCAATGAGGCTCGAATACGTGTTCGGGTTACGGATAAGCTTACGCCAAACCATGATTAAGATTAAACGAGTCATAACACTCGCCGGTGGCATCTGTTTTCCGGTACCGGAATCTTGAACTCCGGCGGTTTTCGGGTGTAGCTCCGATGTGGAACTGGACCCCAGTTTAGTCAGTCCAGTGGGTCCCTCTTTTTCTCCTTTTTCTTCATCTCCATCTTTTCCACCACCATTGGCACCTCCAAAGCTAAAATCTTCCCTAACAAAGTCCCCACTTTGCGGAATGGCTTCAAATATAAAATAATAAAAGAATATTAACAAATGTTTAAAAATGAAATCTTTAATTATTTTAATATATCTGTTTGAGTTAATTAAACAATAAAAAATGTACCTTTAGTATTATCCCCATTTTGAGGATGATCAGAAACCAACATCCTAATTTCTTTAGCACCATCGGACCGACCAGATTGTTCGTTAGCACTGAAATCATTGCCGCCGAACACATGGAGGCCGCCGGCTTCCGACACCGGCGAATTACTCGAGCTCCAAACAAACATGTGAAGTTCCTTAGCATCATGATTATTACCTTTAGCATTCAGCTGTTGTTGTACATCTTGCTTTTGTACTTGAACATTTTGTTGTTGCTGAGGTTTTGTATTCTTAGGTACTGTCGAAGCAATTTCGGGATTCGGTGCAGGATAATAACCTGGGGTAGCAGTCTGCGCCGGGAAAAATCCAAACTTCGGAGAGTTCTGAATCAGACCTCCCGGAGCACAATTTTCTTCAAAATTAGACGGTCTCGGGGTTGGACCCCGAGACGATTGAACAGAATACATATTATCCGCAGGACCAAAATTGGATAATCTTCCTCCAGGAAAACCCATCATAGAGTAAAAATCATTATGATTAAAATTAGATCCTCTAGGAGTTGGATTTCTTGAAGAACTTAAGCTATAAATTTCAGCTCCAGTTAGATTTGATGGTCTATGGTCCATAGCAAATGATCTCCTAGACGCATTTGATTTTCTTACAGTAACATGAAGTTTACCATCTTGGCCAATTTCAGCGTCAGTTTCAAGAAAATCATGTCCATCTAAAGAAACAACATCAGATTCCACTTTAAATGAAACAATGGAAGCAGCAGTTTCAGGAAATTGTTCCATAATAAGCATCTTAGCCCCACGATATTCGAACAAGAAAAGCAAAAGGGTGTACCAAATAATACACTGTAACACTACAACTTGTACCATTAAACTACCAGAGTACTCACCATACATAGCAATTAACAAAGGAATTCCCATAACAAGTGTATTAGGAAGTGTTGAAAGTGAGAAAATTGTAATGCTCCATTCTAGGCTACCATTTTTTGTCAAATTAGCCCATAATGAAAGCACCACTAACATAATAACCTTTTGTAAAGAATCAGCAGCAATGAAACGGAAGTTCATTTCATACGGGTTGTTCATGGCTATAAAGTGAAAGGAAAGTAAAGGGACTGCAAAAATAGCCACAAATCTGTTTATACCAGAGCATTGATCAGGGGAAAAGATTTTCCACCATCGGACAGAACCATATGCCAAGATCATAGCAACATACAAAGGAACAACTGCTGTTAACACAACATATAGATCGTGCCAAGTGATCATTTTTGCAAAACTTGAGAAAAATCAAGAAAATATAGTAATGGTGAGTGAATGTGGAGAAGAAAAAGGGCAAGATGGGGAAGAAGAAAAACCGTTATTTAACTGAACTGTGTGTAGTACTACTGACTAAAAAAGGGATATATGTTTTTCTGCTGTGTGGTGCTGACTTATCTCTGAAATGTTTCTATTTATGCTGCAAATCAGAGAGTTAAAAAAGGACTAGTGAGAAAGTGTGTTTTTTGGGGGAAGAAGAAGAAGAAAAGGAGTGAACACAAGAGAGAGTGAAATTACATGAGAGTGTAAAATGTGAGAAGATTTATATATAGGGAAGAGGGAGTGAGGTTAGTGGGGATAATTCAACTGGAAACTTGTGAACTTCTTTTTTTATTTTTTTTAAGAGGAAATTTTGGGGACCAGTTGAAATTTTGAGATTAGATATTGATAAAGAAAGAAGTTAAGAAAAGAAGGCCCAAAAAAAAGAGGGGGGGAGGGGG